CTGGCGTGATCAGTGAAGTCAACTGAAAGAGTTAACTCTGCTCTGTGAGACACCATGAGGGAAAAACATATGGAAAAAACCTAATGCGTCTTTTAAAAAAATCAGTTTTATCTCATCATCATCATCATTCCCATAACCGCATTGGTCGCTGGGGCACCATCATTTATGAGCAATCAACCAATTGTCTCCACCCCTAACGATTGTGTGTCAGTACTTGAGTCTCCATGAAGTCCATTCCTGTCCACTCTTTTATGTTGTCAATCCATCTCTTCTTCTGTCTACCTCTTCTCCTCTTCCCTTGTACCGTCCCTTTGAGAATGATCTTGGATAAGCCAGATGATTTTGTTACATGGCCGTACCACTTCAGCTTGCACTTCTTCATAGTCGTCAGGAGGTCTTTATATGACCCAGCGCATTGGGTGATGATGTTGCAGACCTGTTCATTAGTGACGTGGTTGAAGTAGGAGATGCCCAAGATTTTACAGAAGTATCTCAACTCTACTACCTGTATTTTCTGTTCAAGTTCTGCCATACGGGTCTATGTCTCACACGCACACAGAAAAATGGAGATGACCGTTTCAGTTTTGATTCCAGGGAGATGTTCTTATGCCTCCAAATTGGCTTTAGCTTTGCCACTGCTGCTGTTGTTTGCGCAGTTCTTGCCAGAATTTCTTCCTTGGATCCTTCATCAGTAATGATTGCCCCCAAATACTTGAACTGTTTCACTGTCTCCAGCTCTTGTCCACTGACAGTGATATGTGAGCTGATCCTGTCACATTTGTTTGCCATCAGCTTGGTTTTCTCTGTAGTGATTTCCATGCCGTATTTTGCGGAGGTTTCATCCAATCGTTTCACAAGGTTGGCAAGTTCATCTTCACTGCCTGCCAAGCCGTCAATATCATCAGCGAACCAAAGATTTGAGATTGTTTGCCCCCCAGTGCTGACTGTGCATATGTGATCTTCTAAGGCATCAGTCATTATGCGCTCCAAGTAGATGTTGAACAGTGTGGGCGAAAGAAGGCAGCCTTGCTGGACTCCAACAGTGATGCAAAACTACTCTCTTATTGTGCCATTAACGAGAACTGCACTGCTGGCCTTGACTTACAGTTGTTTAATGGTAAGAATAAGCTTACGACCAACACTGCACTTCTTCATGGTTGCCCAAAGAGCTTCATGCCATGCTCTGTCAAACGCCTTCTTGAAGTCAATAAAGACATGGTAGATGTCCTGCTGGTGTTGTAAGTACTTCTCACATAGAACATGAAGATTGAAAATCTGTTCTGTGATACTTCTTCCAGCACGAAAGCCAGCCTGTTCTTCAGCGATGATAGTCTCCACTTGTAGCTTCGATCTTTTCAATATGACTTTCAACATCACTTTGCTGGGATGACTAAATAAACTTATGGTCCGGTAATTTTGACACAATTTCAGATTGCCTTTCTTTGGCAGAGTGATGATTAGTGACTGTCCACGTGGAGGGCCACTCATCTAGTCTAGGACAAACACTAAAATGTCTTAATTATACCATTATATCATGGCATCAATAGAGAGCAGAATTAAAGTTGTTTGAGTGCCTTAACTGTGCATTTCTATACCTCAACATGTTTGCATTTCTTAAGTGTACATTTATATCACACAGTAAGCTGGCCATTTAAGAGTGTGCAGTTATTCCTGCAAAGGGAGGACAAATGAAGAGTACAGCTCAGAATTCAAAGATTCCAAGGCCAGAAGGAATCATTGTGATTATCCAGTCTGACCTCCAGTATAACACAGACCATAGAATTTCCCCAAAATTATTCCTTTTGAACTAGAGACTTTCTTTTGATTTATTCCGTGAAAGGGGTGGACTTTGGGGGCTTAACCAGTGGGTTAGGTCAACTGCAGTGACTGACAGTGCTTGGAGCCAGGAGAGCTGGGAATCAGCGAATGACTGAAACAGAAGTGAAATTTAGGAAGATGCAGAGGAAGATGCAGGGTCTCATGCCAGGTTCAGAGAGACCGCGCTACACTTTAACTATGAAATTCCTGGGTTTGTAATGCTTGAGATAGTTACAACATCCCTGTAATGTTTTTTACCCTGAAGTTACAGATATGTACTCTCCTGCTTAACTCCACTTTAGCATAGTTTTTACATTTGAATAAATAACACCACCCATAATGATCACAATGACAATACAAGTTAATACAAGGAAAGAATCTCATCAGCTGGTTTTGGTGATGTAACTCAAGGGAGTGGAGTTTCAGAGTTTTCTCACATTAGAATCCCATGCTGATTTAAAAAAAATATATATCACTGCATCTATTAACAAAACTGAAAATGCGTTAATTATATTCCACGTTCCAAACATTTCATATTCCTAATCAAAGTGCAGAAGAGTATACTGAAATTAGTATGCCCATATGGTAATACATGAATATGATTTAAAGTATCACTGCAGCTGTTGACTGAGAAAGTAACCCTTTTAGTAACTATAATCCTGAAACATTGTATTGAAGAATTAAAATCCTTAGTTATCAGTCTCCCCATTCTTGCAATTCTTCCTTGATAAACTGGTGTTTCAGTTGTAGCATGAATTTCTCCCTAAAGTAGTTTCAGATCACTATGAATGAATTGTGAGGCTGATGACCTTCTACCCAAATACCTCCTCTTTCCTCAAAATATGTTTGTAAAAGTACCATTATATTTTTCTTGCCTGACATATTGCCCCTCAGAAGGACAAAGGCACTCGCTGGAAGTGGATAAGGCCCGAACACAGAGTCTCCTGTTTCCAAAGCCACTATCAGTCATTATCTAACGACAATTAAAATTCAGACTGATTATCAATGATAGGTTAGGAAAGACAAAAAAGCATCAGACAGTGAATAGGTAAATTATCAACATACCACTTTTTTGTTTAAGTTTAATAAGTTACTGTCACACAAAGGCAAAATAAAGAGTTAAACTTAATTGTATTAAAACTCATCCCAAATAAAGATGCAGGAATAATAATCATTTTCAAATCATAAAAACAACTTAAAAGAAAAAAAATACAGAAAAACTATTATAAAATTAACAGTTTTGGTTTAAGATAAGGCTTCATACACAAATTTTCTCTGAAAACAGTGCCTACTTGTAACCTTTTATTCTTATTCTAGGAGAGTTTTCTTTCCAAAATCTTGTTTTCTTTTTTAACTTTTAAACTGCTGTCACGGTTAAAAAGAAGTTACAACAAAGGTACTATAATACATGAAATGGTTCACCTTTAGTTCACAACATAAATGTAAATAGGGAATTTTGAGTATAATTAACAATAAAATATTGCAATATTTTTGATGACTATGGTGGGGTGTTGTGGTTTTTTGTTTACAGCAAAGACAATGAGGAATATCAACAGACTTCTCAGTACCAGCGGCGGCTCCAGGCACCAACGCTCTAAGCGCGTGCCTGGGGCGGCAAGCCACGGGGGGCACCCTGCCGGTCCCTGTAAGGACAGCAGTCAGGCAGCCTTCGGCGGCATGCCTGTGGGAGGTTCGCTGGTCCCGGGGATTCGGCGGCAATTCGGTGGCAGGTACGCCAAATCCGCGGGACCGCCCACAGGCATGCCGCCGAAGGCTGCCTGCAGTGCTTGAGGTGGCAAAAAAGCTAGAGCCGCCCCTGCTCAGTACACATACTTCCTAAACCTACGACCACCTTCTAGATCAGACGTAGGCAAACTACGGCACGCGGGCCACATCCAGCCCGTGGGACCGTCCTGCCCGGCCCCTGAGCTCCCAGCTGGGGAGACTAGTCCCCGGCCCTCCTCTGCTGTCCCACCACCCCCGCAGCCACGCCACCGCGCAGGCCCCGCTCCGGCCCACCGCTCCTGCTGGGCAGCGTGGGGAGCGCAGCTGGCTCTGGCCGGGTGTCGCGGCTGCGAGCTCCTGCTGCTGGTAAGGGGGCGGTGAGCGGGTGGGTTGGGTAAGGGAGTAGGGGGTACTGGGGGGCACTCAGTGAGGAGGGGGCGGTTGGATGGGGCAGAGGTTCTGGGTGGGCGGTCAGTGGATGGGGAACAGGGAGGGTTGGGAGTGGGAGTCCAGGGGGGCCTCTCAGGGGACGGGGATGTGGATAGGGGTCGGGAGGGCAGTCAGGGGATAAGGAGCAGGGGGGTGGGGTTGAATAAGGGGTTGGGATCCCATGGGGCAGTTAGGGGCGGGGGGTCCCGGGAGGGGGTGGTCAGGGGACGAGGAGCAGAGGGTGGTTGGATAGGGGGTGGGAGTCCTGGGGTGGCTGTCAAGGGGCGGGGGTGTGGATAGGGATCGGAGTAGTAAGGGGACAGGGAGCAGGGGGGTTGGATAGGGGGCGGGGGTCCCGGGAGGGGTCGGTCAGGGGACAAGGAGCAAGGGTGGTTGGATGGTTTGGGAGTTCTGAGGCGGACAGTCAGGGGGCAGGAAGTGGGAGGGGGCGGAGGCCAGGCTGTTTGGGGAGGCACAGCTTTCCCTACTCGGCCCGCCATACAGTTGCGCAACCCCAATGTGGCTCTCAGGCCAAAAAGTTTGCCCACCCCTGTTCTAGATATTTGAGTACCAAAGACCAAAATCATTTATTCCAACCTCCTATAATATACAGAACAGCTTCTACTAAATATTAATAAGTTCTTTATCCAAGTATTTCTACATTTTAATTATTCCTAAAAACAATTTTTTTACTTTAGTCTAATTTTATGTTTTTGCTCCTAGTTCACATTCCCTGCATAACCCTGAATAATTCCTTCCTCTTCCCAATGTTCATTCCTTTGAGATATTTGTAGACTGTTTTGTGCACACTTATGCTATTTCCTAAATAAATGCTCAATTGTTCCATCGTATGTTCAATTTTTTTCTGCATAATTGTTTAAGTAAACCAAATTCCTAACCATAAGTCAATAGTTTACTGCAGTGGCAGAAGAGCTAATGTGACTCCAATCTAACTGTCTTTGATTATTCTCTCCCACATAATAGGCAGACTACAACTTAATGAAAACTGTTAGTTTTAATCACAATACCTTTTTGTACAGCTATAGGGAATTGTTGAAGCCTCCAAATTGACATGCAATCAATTTTCATTACAAGCTTTTTCTTTCGCTGTTTTTCCCGCTTCAAAGCTTCTTCAGCCTCTTTACGTTCAGCTTCTAGTCGCTTAATCAGCTCAATGACCTCTGATAACACCGCTTCTGTTTCCTGCTTTAAGATTATAGTCCTGCTGTTTTAAAATACATTTTTAAAAGTTACATATAAAAAAAATGGTTACTCACCTTCACATAACTGTTGTTCTTCGAGATGTGTTGTTCATGTCCATTCCAAGCAGGTGTGTGCGCGCCGCATGCACGCCAGCCGGAAGATTTTACTATAGCAGCGTCCGTAGGGTCGGCTTCAGCGCCCCCTGGAGTGGTGCCTTCATGGCGCTGTATATAGGAGCCAGCCGACCCTTCACCCCCTCAGTTCCTTCTTGCCAACACTCCAACAGAGGGGCAGGAGGGCGGGTATTGGAATGGACATGAACAACACATCTCGAAGAACAACAGTTACGAGAAGGTAACCGTTTTTTCTTCTTCGAGTGATTGTTCATGTCCATTCCAAGAAGGTGACTCACAAGCCCGAACCTAGGCGGTGGGGTCGGAGGTCACTGCAGACTGGAGTACTGCGTGGCCAAAGGCAGCATCATCTCTGGCCTGGTACGTGATGGCATAGTGCGCTGTAAAGGTGTGGATTGAGGACCAGGTGGCCACTCTACAAATTTCCTGCATCGGGACCTGGGCCAGGAACGCAGCGGAAGAGGCCTGCGCTCTTGTGGAGTGGGCCGTGATAGGCGGGGCTGGTATATTGGCCCGACTGTAGCACTCCCGGATGCAGGTTCTGATCCAAGCCGAGATTCGCTGTGACGAGACTGGGAGCCCTTTCATCCTGTCGGCCACGGCGACAAAAAGTTGGGTTGATTTCCTGAAGGATCTTGTCCTTTTGATATAGAATGCGAGAGCCCTGTGAACGTCCAGGGAATGCAGCCTACGCTCCTTCGCAGAGGAGTGAGGTTTCGGATAAAACACCGGGAGAAAAATGTCTTGACCCATGTGAAATGGGGAAACCACCTTACGGAGGAACGCTGGGTGCGTCCTGAGTTGGACCTTTCCTTGTGGAAGATGGTGTATGGAGGTTCAGATGTTAGAGCTCTGAGTTCCGACACTCTCCGGGCTGATGTGATAGCCACCAAGAACGCGACCTTATATGAAAGATATAACAGCGAGCACGAAGCCAGCGGCTCGAAGTGGGGGCCTGTGAGGATGGACAGGACTAAATTGAGGTCCCAAGCAGGGATGGGTTGATGAATGTGCGGGAACAACCTGTCAAGGCCCTTGAGGAAGCGACCAACGAGTGGGTTTGCAAACACTGAGGTACCCCCCGCTCCAGGGTGGAACGCCGAGATGGCAGCAAGGTGTACTCGAACCGAAGAGAGAGTCAGTCCCAGGTGTCTGAGATATAGTAAATAGTCCAGGATAAGAGGGATCGGGGCGAGCAAGGGAGCATGACCCCGTTGTGTGGCCCAAAGCAAAAAGCGCTTCCACTTGGCCAAGTACGTGGTCCTTGTTGAAGGCTTTCTGCTGCCAAGAAGGACCTGCCTGACCTGATGAGAGCATTGCATCTCCACGGGGTTTAGCCATGGAGCATCCAGGCTGTAAGGTGGAGTGACTCCAGGTTCGGGTGAAGGAGGCGACCGCGATCCTGTGTGATCAAGTCTGGTAGTAGGGGCAACCTGAGGGGCACCCGCATAGACATGTGCAGGAGAGACGGGTACCATTGCTGGCGCGGCCACGCAGGCGCTATCAGGATAAGCCGAGCGTGATCTCTGCGGGCCTTGAGGATTACTCTGTGAACCATGGGAATCGGGGGAAAGGCGTAAAATAGCCCGTCTGCCCAAGAGAGGAGAAAGGCAACTGTTAGAGACCCCGGACTGCGCCCATGAGGGAGCAGAATTGACAACACTTCCTGTTCTTGCTGGAGGCAAACAGGTCCATCTGGGGATGACCCCAGAGCCGGAAAATTGAGAGTACTATATCCCAGCGGATAGACCACTTGTGACCCTGGAACGAGTGGCTGAGGGCGTCCGCAAGCCCGTTGTGCGTCCCCGGGAGGTAGGACGCTGTCAGGTGAATTACGTTCTGTACGCAAAAGTCCCATCATGCGAGGGCCTCCTGGCACAGGGGAGAGGAGCGAGCACCACCCTGTTTGTTGATATAGAACATCGTTGGAGTGTTGTCCGTGAGGACAGAAACGCACCTGCCTGCCAGCTGGGATTTGAACGCTATGCATGCGAGGCGCACCGCTCGTAATTCCCTGACATTGATGTGCAACGAAAGATCCTCTCGTGACCAAAGGCCTTGGGTTCTGAGGCCGCCCAGATGTGCACCCCATCCCCGATCCGATGTGTCCGTTACCAGGGATAGGGAGGGCTCGGGGTCGAGGAAAGGCACTCCCGTGCAGACCTCCCACGGGTCGAGCCACCACTGAAGGGAATCCAACACCGGCCGAGGTAACGTCACCACTGATTCTAGGGAGTCCCTGACTGGCCGATAAACCCCTGCCAACCAGGACTGGAGTGGGCGCAGTCTGAGTCTGGCGTAGTGGTGGTCGGGTAACGTTGGAGGCCGAGAATAACGTTGGACGTAGTCCGGAATCTGGCCTCTGGGAGATATGCCCTGGCGTGTGTCGAGTCCAGAACTGCCCCTATGAATTCGATTTTTTGGGTTGGAGATAGTGTAGACTTGGCCTCGTTGAGTAAGAGGCCAAGCTTGAGGAAGGTCTGCCTGGTAAAGACCATCTGAGCCTCCACCTGCGCCTTGGTCCTGCCCTTGATGAGCCAATCGTCCAGGTAGAGAAACACCTGAATCCCCTGCCTGCGCAGGAAGGCTGCCACGACTGCCATGCACTTCGTGAAGACCCTTGGGGCTGCTGACAGACCAAAGGGCAGAACCGTAAATTGTAGATGAGCACTGCCCACGAGAAACCTGAGGTAACGCCTGTGCTGAGGGATTATCGCAATGTGAAAGTATGCGTCCTTTAAGTTGAGGGCAGCATACCAGTCTCCTTCCATCATGGAAGGAATGATGGAGGACAGGGAGACCATGCGGAATTTGAGCTTCTTTACAAACTTCTTGAGACGCCGCAAGTCCAGAATAGGTCTGAGGCCCCCTTTCGCTTTCGGTATTAGGAAATAGCGAGAATAGAAGCCCCTGCCCTGTAGCTCCTGAGGAACCTCCTCTACTGCCCCTGATGCGAGGAGGGACTGAACTTCTTGAAGTAGAAGTTGCTTGTGAGAGGGGTCCCTGAAGAGGGTTGGGGAGGGGGGCTGGTGGGGCAGGAGGGAGGAGAACTGGATAGAATATCCCCTCTCTACCGTGCGAAGCACCCAAGCGTCTGATGTGATCCGGGCCCACGCACGATAGAAGGGGGACAGATGTGACGAGAAGGTAAGGTTGGACGGATCTAGGGTTCTGACTGGGAGGTCGTCCTCGACCAAGCCATCAAAATGGTGGTCTAGGCCCCTGTGTAGGCCTTGGTTGGGCAGATGACTGGCAGAAGGACTGCTGTTGTTGCCTCCTCCTGCCCGTCCTTGCCCTTCTGTGCAAGGCATCCCCTCGATTTTGAGGCTGGTACGGCCGTGGGGCCTGTGGTGGCCTGAACTGCCTACGCTGGGTGACCGGGGTGTGTAGGCCTAATGAACGGAAGGTGGTCCGTGAATCCTTTAGGCTATGAAGCCTATCAGTCTTCTCCGAGAAGAGCGTGGGCCCTTCGAAGGGGAGGTCTTGGATCGTTTGTTGGACCTCATGAGGGAGGCCGGAAACTTGAAGCCAGGCTCCGCGCCTCATGACCAGACCAGGTCGCCAACGTGCATGAGGCTGAATCGGCCGCGTCCAAAGCCGCCTGGAGGGAAGCCCGGGTAATCAATCTCCCCTCTTCAACCAGGGCTGAAAACTCGGTTCGCGACTCCTGTGGAAGGAGGTCCGCGAACCTAGACAAAGCCGAGCACGTGTTGTGTCCATACCGGCTCACTATGGCTTGCTGATTGGCAATGCGCAACTGCAGGCCCTCCGTTGAATATACCTTGCGCCCGAACAGGTCCAACTTTTTGGCCTCTCTATTATTGGGGGTAGCTCCCTGAAACCCTTGGCGTTCCCTCTGGTTGGCCGCATCTACCACTAGGGAGTCCGGGGGAGGGTGTGTATAAAGATGTTCATAGCCCTTGGATGGAACAAAATATCGCCTCTCAGTCCTTTTAGCCATAGGGGCCAATGAGGCTGGAATTTGCCACAAGGTGCGGGTTGTGTCCGTAATGGTCTTTATGAGAGGTAGGGCTACCCTGGATGGGCCTGACAGGGTCAGGATGTCCACCACCAGATCTGTATCCACCTCGATCTCCTCAGTCTGGATCGAGAGGCTTTGGGCTGCTCGAGTAAGCAGCTGTTTGAGGATCCTATTGTCCTCTAGTGCCGGTGCTGCTGAAGTTCCCGCTACTGCCTCATCCGGAGATGAGGAGGAAGAGATCCCCTGAAGAGGGCCTTCATCTACCCCCTCTCCCTCTACGAGGGCCTGCGGCACACGGTACTCAGGCTGCGCGACCGGTGCGGGCTCAGGATGTGGCACCGCGGCCGGTACCGGGGTCGACACCGTGCAACAAGGCATGCTGGACGGTGCCTGCAGTGTTGGGAGCAAGGTCCCCGTCGGTGCCGTTGTCTGGCTAGGCGGTGCCGTGTCCCTTTGTGGCACACTCCTGTCAGACGGCGGTGCCGGTGGTGGTGGCATCAGCGGAGGGGCCGCCGACGTCGAAGGGACAGATGCGGCTCGTGAGCGGGGTCCATACACCTGACCCACTGACTGGTGATAGGCCCACGGCGTCCAGAACAGCCACTGGGGGGGGCACAGTTGCCACTGCTGCTGCCACTGCGGTGGGTACGGTTGGGTACTCGTACGCCAGGACGATCACCTACTCCTCGATCTGTTAGAGCGGTACGAGTCCACCTCCGAGTCCGAAGTCTCTGAGTAGGAGGACATAGGAGGCGCGGTACCCACTGTCACCGGAGAGGGTGCTGTCTGCACCGGTGCAGCTAGAGTGGCGCGGCATGGGGAGCGTGGCGAGAGCATTGCCGGTTTGCCCCTAGATTGATAATGGGGTCGAGTGGTAGCCGGAGGTTCTCTGCACTGGTGCAG